GAGAGAATTAATTCATCTCAGTTTATGCGCAAAAACTTTTTGGCAATTTTTCATAAAAGATTAAGACTTTTCCACTTCTTCTTTCACTGTAAAAAACTATTTTTAATCTGCTCTCTCTCTCTCTCTCAAAAATGATTGGTTTATAAGTTTAGTTCACTTTATTTTTTATTTAATGAGTCCATGGATTTGAAATATGCTTTGAAGTGAAGTGCAGACAAACATAGATTTTCCTTATAATAGTAGAGAAAACACTTATCTGTGAATACGCAGAGAGAGAGAGAGAGAGAGAGAGAGAACTGAAGAATTGGATTCTATTCAACAGAACTTGCTGTAGACTTGTATTAAAATCATTTTGAATTTAAAGTACAAATATTATATTATTACCATAAAAATAATCATATTTAAAGTATTAAGGCAAATAAATTATTCTTTGTTAACAATTAAATGTCATTTTGTTGAAAATACTGAATTATTAAATTCTACCTTTAAAATAAATTATATTTATAATTCAATTCAACAGAATTTTATAGCAGCTTTATAAATAGTGTAACAATTTTTGGCGTTTTTCTAAATTGATGTCTAAAAAGTTCTCGCAATTCAGACGTGGCTTAGACTGAGTTTTATAAATATATACACGAAATGTGTGCTCAAAGTTGTTGAGAGAGTAGTGATTATGCAATAAATAGATAATAGTCTGAACCGATGAAAGACACATATATTTTTATATCAAATGAATTCTGAAAAATATTTATACGTTATGTTAAATACACATTTCAAAGAATGTCTAAAAGACAACAAAATTGTTGATTATATGAGGAATTTGTGGCAGAAATTAGAAACAGAATCTAAGTTTTCAATAATTATTTACAAATGTCTTCAAATTACTCGATATCTCCCCCGCAATCAGCGAAGAAAAATAAACACATATTTGCCATAACTTTCTCCACCAATACATCAAACATTAAATCATTGAATGATTTATTTTTAATAATAAAAACTTGAGACACAATAAATTGAAGGCAAATGAGTTTGCACACCAAATATATTGATGAATATCATATATGGCTTAAAAATGTGGTATTGATTGTCATATCATATGGTTTTTCTCGTTGACAGAGAGGGCGAGTGAAATGCGAACAAGAGATGTGTCCCAAACTGAACTGCACTAATCAGACCACAATCGCCGGTTCCTGTTGTCCCGTCTGTTCCAACCAATTAGGTCTGCCATCAATTATCATCATTACTCGTCTGTGGATATCATGTGTCCGACACACGAATCCACAAATCATTTCATTAGTTTACTAATCATTGTGTTTTCTTAATACATATCATAAATAGATTCATTAAATACGAACACAAATACGACAAAAGGATGTTATTTAGAGGGCGACAAGAAATTTCATTTGGCTGGCAGTCGATGGCACCCATATCTGCCACCATTTGGTTTCGATAAGTGTTCCCTCTGTACTTGTCTGGTAATTGAATACCAAAAAGCGATCATTCATTTGCTCTCATTTCACACCAATGTTTGTCTATTGTCTCAAATTTAGGCCAATTCTCTAACAATACAGTGCGAGAGGAATATCGACTGTCCGGCGCTTACATGTGCTGAACAGGAAGCCTATCGTGAGAATCCCATGGATTGCTGCAAACGCTGTCCCAGTAATTGAATGCTTATTACATAATATTATACAATATATTACAATCAATTGTCTCTAATTTATGACTCCTTTTGTTTATCTTTCAGATGCACTTCCAGTCAAATCGATTGTATCGGTCGATCAGTTAGGAGACCAGCGATCTATTGGCGGTGTATTGAAAAGTCCGCACGAATTGATGGCTGTGGGAGGTATTCATTGTGTTTTTATATATGATTTTCTGTGCAAACCTACCATTAAATTAAAGCCTTATATTCTTATCCATTGTTTTCTTTCGCGATAAAAAGGCTGTAAATTCCGGGGAAGAGTGTATCCCAATGGAGATGAATGGCATCCAACGGTACAGCCATTCGGCGAAGTAAAGTGTGTTAAATGTCGGTGTAAGGTATGCAATGGGATCCACCACTTTGGCAGTCGACTCCAAGTTTTATGATATTATTGGATATAAATTTTGGCTCCAAAATAAAAATGACAATAAATTCAGACAGAATTAGCGTTCAAGATAGCGAGTACTGTATATGACTTGTAAAGTCTTATATTATATAAGACATACAAAACCTATTAAGTAATAATATAGTGATAAGGAAACACTTACTTGTAATGTGTTTATCATTAAACATTGCATTAATATATTAGTATTTTGATAGTAATATCCATTTGACAAATAAGTTGTTAATTCATTAGAAAAATTAACTCATTTCTTATCACGAGTTTATTTGTTTAACAACTATTTGTGAGCCGACAGTAATATAACTGTTATTTCAAATCCAATGATATAATAATTTATTTGTATTTATATTTTCATAATTTAATTTTGTTGTTAAGTCTCGACTTATGTAATAAAATATTTTTGTTTTTATTTGACTGATAGGATGGTCACTCGAAATGCAAACGAATTATATGTCCAAAAATAACTGCCTGTAGTATTGTCATCAATAGGAATAACGAATGCTGTCCCATATGTGCCGATGACATGGGTATGACATGCCGATGACATTACATACAATCCCTACACTTCTACACAACCTTTCATTCCTTAATAAATATGAAAAATAATGAATAATTTTCAGTATTCATTATTATTGTTTGTATGAATCTAAATGATCTAAATGGACACAATTCTTAATAGTTTTGTTAAACACCATTATACTTTTGGAGTCATTTAAACATTAATTATGCTTTAAAATTCCTTATAAATTATATGAAATTGTTATAATGAGTATAAACTAATGAAATGTTTGACGTATTGATCTAATAGATGGTATGATGATGAAGAATCAACCGGAAAACCCGGTCCACAACCGGAAACGGGGCGGAAAGAAGCGGCGGAGGAATAACGGACGGCGCGCTTTGCACCGACCGATCCATAAAAGTGAACCAATTGCTGATAAAATGGTTGCTTAATAGCATATAATCTGAAATAATTACAAAGATATGAATCCAATATAATATTAATAACAAGAAGAACTAATGCAAGAGTTAACCAGTATTTGAGTCACAAAGACATACATTTTTATCGACAAGAATATGATTGATTTGTTTGATTTATTTGAATATCCTTTCGATGTATTGTCAATCAAACAATCTCTCAATCAATTGTCTCACACTTTTTCAAATCGAAATAATGTTTTTTACATAATATTTATCGCAAATCATATTCGGATATAATTTTGAGCACAAATTCTATTGACTTAATAGTAAATATATACAAAAGAATTGTCATTTTATGTCAAAATGTCATTATTTGTTATAAAATGTAATTAAAATACATGTGAAGTATGAAAATAATTGTGCAGAAAATCTAAGAAAAGACATTTTTTATGTGAAGGAAAGTCATAACTTTTTTTGTTCATCAAATTGTTTACATATTTTACTTTTCACATCATTATTACTGTACTATTAATCTATACTAAAAATTCTTAATCTACCAATGTTTTAATTTATTTCTATTAAATCTCTCTCTCTCTCTCTCTCTCTCTCTCTCTCTCTCTCTCTCATTGCCTTATTTTAAATATTCTGTAAAATTTAAAACTGTTACAAATTTACACAAAATTCTGTAAATATTTATTACCGTATATACAAAAATCTGAGTTTAAAAAATTGTGAATTTGTTTTCTTTTTAAATAATTCTTGTTTTTTGAGCTTTTGAATCGAAGTCCACAACAAATGTATTAAAACAAATCATATGAATAAACAAAACAAAAAAGAAAAATACATTTAAATCTCATTCTTATAACATGAATAAACTATATATGCATAGAATAGCTAAATCATAGGAAATTGTTTTCTAGATGCAATGAATATACTGTATCATAGTTGTACGGATAGCACCGTTATCTTAACAGAGATGGAGTTCATATGGATATTAGAGAACTGCTTCCTATGGTCTCCATAAGCGATATGAAGATATATATTCTGTGATAAAAGTCATGAAATATAAAGGTTTGAAATACAAAACCACAAGCGATGGGAAAATATGTATTTCGCTGGAAGAGTATGTTCTCTGCCATACATTATAGACATTACCAGCGAAACAATAATTGTATAATAAATAATATACGGATAAAAGTGATGATAAAAGTTACAGGTGTAGGGTATGGGTTGCTATAGTGACAATTGCTTTGGCCGTAACTTTGATGGTGGTGTCTGTGGGAACGGTATGTGCAGAAGCGCTCACTCGATGACGGGGAGAGACACACATACAATGAACTTATAGTTAATTTTCTGACAAAACATGTTTACTATTGCCTACACTATTGGACAGTAATGACAAGGAAAGCACAACTTTTGTCCCTAAAAGTGAACACTTTATTCACTCGACGCTACTGTTTGACTGTTTGAATAGAGTGTATGGAGAATAACAGTTAAAATGTATTAAATTTCTCTCATAAATGGTTTCGGTTTGAAGTTTCCGTTTATTTTCCATCGACTCTAAAAACGTTTTCTTGTCTTTTGCTTTGTTTTTCGTCTAAACCGACGAAATGCAAGACTTTGTAAAGTTTTCGCTGATATTTGAAGCATAAATAAGGGCACAGAATATATAAGTCTACAGAATATTCTGTGTTTGTCTGACAGAAGATTAAAGTTTGTGTTCGATGACTGCATTTTGTGCTTTTCTTATCACTCATTATATTAAACTCTATGTTATTTGAGTTTTATTCCTGTATTCAATAATACGCTTCTTAACAACAAATAAAATACCAAAGTTTATCATAATATCAATATATTCTAATACTGTTTAATAAATATCATTCACGATATTGTGTTTTATAACAAAAAACTTTTGCCCTTTTATTGAAAAAAAGTTTATGAATTGACGGTAAAGTGAAAAAACTAAAGTTTAAATTAATTCACGGTTTTTGTTGTGAATTCAATACGAGAACTGATATATAAAATATGATTCTCTCGTAAAAAAGTATTACTTGTGTTTCCATATGATTGTGTTTATATCTGGTGTGACAGCCGGTGCTTATATATGAACAAAAGCTTTCTAACTAGAAACTAATCAAACGATTCTTAAAGTTTTTGGAGGTTTTGTGTGTTTTTTTATAATAGTGACAAATTATTGTTGTGGCAAATAATTTCAATGACAACTCAATAATAAGGTTCACTTGTGAGACGAAATACAAACACCAAAAACATCTTAAGAGGTGATGGACTGAAGAGGAATCATACATATTAGCGGTGGACTCGACTAACCATTACTCGGAATCGAGAAAACAATATTTCATAGCCTCTTATGGCACAGAATATTCACTCACATTATTATCGGTGATATTTATGTTGCTTGCATTGCGTATGCGTTGAAGTGTTTAGTCGTGTTTCCCAAAAGTCAATGTAATGCTAGACTCCCAGAGCTATCTCTAAGACTCTAAGACTTCTTTTCGGGCGAACTATCAGTGTTTGACTGACGAGAAAAGTTCACCAAATCTTATGCTAACAAGTCTTATATATACCAGTGTTTTGTTAAAATTTGTTTTAAATCTCGTATTCGTTGAGCCGTAAAATGAGTAATTTATATCCTATTATCTCATTCCTATTAAGAGGATTAATACAGTATTGTATTATTATAATCAAGTGAAATGTTTTTTTGCCAAATAAAGTGTTATCTTATATGTGGCGGCGAATGAATCGCCAAAAGTGTCATATTATTAACGTTCAAAAAATCATTAATTCTGTGTTTAATTGAGGGTAACATACATTTGAGTGACGATTATGTGACATATAATTTGCGAGACATAATAACGGGACGAAAGTCTTAATCCAAAAACTAAACCAAGAAATATATAATACAAATATAAGTCATTATATAACCAAATATAATGCGAACTTATTTGCTACTGAATAACATTCAAAGCAACAATTTTTCATTAATTGGTTTTATGTTTCTAACAATTGGTGAGTGATTTCCAAAAGCATACATACATTTCCTTTTACTTATTGTTTTCACCATAATAGCCATCATTACCGACTCAATTCACACACATTTTTTATATCATCTATCGATTACTGACTTTTTATAGCAGTTTTATTTTTATAATTATTTATTTTACACTTGCTTAAACATTTTCACTTAACTATTAATTAATTTCGATTTTGTTGCTAAACAAGTAAATACATATTTTGAGGGCAGTTGTATTTTTGCATAAATTCTATGCAATTTAATTAAATAAAGTCTTTGTATTGACTCTTATCCTATACTCGAAACCCTATTTCCATATACAATACACTTTTAATACATTGTTTAGCAAAACATATTTTTCCAGTGAAACATAATTATATCGAAAATATTGTCTGTGTTTGGAGTCTTAAAAATATGATTTGTTTTGTTTGCTTCACTACTCATAATATATTTATGGTATTGAGCGCTATATTAGTATTTGTCTCTCCATTCAATGATAATATGACTTCCAGTGACTTCACGCTGTCTTACTTTATATAAACAATTCGCTGACGATTTTCTTATATAATTATAACGCTCTTCAGACAACACAATAAAAGCCACACAATTTTCTCCAGTCTCCCCATTGTTGACACTCTATTAAAACGTTTGACATTAAAAATTTGGAGTTTATTTAGAGAATATTAATGAGATATGAGTCTAATATTTCTGTATTCTGTAGACATCTCTCTCTCTCTCTCTCTCTCTCTCTCTCGCTAACAAAATGTTGTTTTACTCTACTTTCTCATTATTAATCGACTAAAATATATTATTAGTAATAATCGATATGAGATTTCAGTCATATTCTCCAGTTTCAGCCATCAATAGACAATGTATTGTAAAGAATGTATATAATATAATATACTGTGTATTATAGTTTTTGTAATGAATTTTCACTTTTCTGTGTGTAAGATATAATAGTTATATAAGAATAATAGAGTAGTTGTGTCAACAATTAGGTGCCATTAATGGCTTCAATCGAAACGAATAATCATTTTTTATTATTTATATTCACGAAAATGGTTGACAACAACAAACCGTAATTTTCTGTTCAATATATAATTATTCATATGGTAATTACTACTTAATTGCGGGCTTTACCATTTATCCATTATATTTGAGACACAAATGCTTTTGTTTTGACTGAAATTCACATTAAGTGATAATACAGTATAGATACGAAAGGTAAGGCACTGGCCATCCGTAGCCACTCTATGCGATTGTCGTCTCGTTTACAGCACATTAACCGCAAGAATATTAATAAAAGCACAAAAAACATGCAAAACTACCACAACTTAAACAAACAGTTGTGTTGATTTGGCCTATTTGTGTCTAAGCCTTAACAGATACAGTAAAGCCATTATATTTACGGTATATATTATATGAATTTTATGGCTTTATATGCCATCAATACAGCGCTCTTTTGCCTTCAATTGCCTTACATTTCAGTATTTCATTGCATTTCGCGGAATATTCTGACGAAAAATGTTTTCCTATCAGTCTTTGGATGGCAAACAAAACCAAAAAACAAATCACTCCATAATAAACACAATTCAAGCGATTCATACGCTTTCTGTTCATGGGTTTGATTTTCATATAATACTGGGGCAGAAGGGGACGGCATATTACGCTCGCATTCAATGTAATTCAGGCGTTTGTAAAACATAAATATTATTTCAATTGCCGTCTTATATACAGAATTGTATGCAATAATAGATTCTTATTATAAATGCATTATAAAAGGAAAGTGGAGACAGAGAGGGATGGAGAGAGAGAGAGAGAGAGAGAGAGAGAGAGAGAGAGAGGTCTTTATTTTGATAATAATAAAGAGGTTTATCGCAACACAAACACCATTCCCGGGAATGGGAAGGAAATATTTTGTTATATAAAAGTAGTTTTAAAGTAAATTATGGTATTATATGTAGAGCACAAAAGATAATTTGGAAATTAAGTTCAACAAAAATGTTGTTAATCTCTGCGATACCATAGTTTTCTAAGTTTCCATTAATTATATATAATCTTAAAGTATGTATTAATATAAGAAAGGTTTGCCTCCTTTTTTGACGCTTCAGTTTTGATTAATAAATGTTTTGAACGAAAACAGCACTTATTTTCGTCATAATTAATTGAAAATAATAAGCAATAAAAGTAAACGTCGATTATTTTCCATATAT